CACATCAACATTCTTGGTAAATTAACACTCTAATGCGTAAGAATGAATTACATTATCCCGGGTATTGATCAAGGACTAGACAGTTGATGGGATAAAAGAAATGAACTGATGGGTTAGAGTAGGTGAACTGCTCGAGACAATCTGACCGTTGATCGGTAAAACTTCTTCGTATAAGAGTTAACGTGACCACATAACCATGCTTTCATAGGACACAATGAAAATGGTTGCTTGGGCATTCGGTTACTTCAAGTCGGTCCTTCGTGTTGGAAATATTGTACCAAATGGCAAAGTTTGGTTCAAATGCAATGTTGCCAAATTAAACCGAAGTATTAATCGGTTCACATTTTAGTAAAAATTTGGTTAATTCAATTTGGTTAATTTGCCCAAACCTAGTTCTATCCATCGAACTTTTGTAGATCTCCAGAACTGAGATGGTCATGTAAACGAAAGAAATGTTTGATGCTACACAATGTAGTATGTCTAAAATTACACGTGACGTTAAAAACTTAGTTCGAAACAAAGTACACATAATGTTAAATGGTTTGTTCTCAAATAGTTACAATAAAAAATATATACAACAATGTGCAGAGTGTGAACAACAAATGTCAGTGAGATAAAATATTAGCGAATATTTTGATTGTTGGCCCTTTGGATCGATTAAAGGCTTTTAATTCGGGCTATCGGATGAAAGTGTTTCCTTTCTCGTGTTGGCAATTCAACGACCGTTTCAAGTTGTTTTTCCTTCTCTAATTTTCCGATTGTTCACTCGCATGATGTTTTTAGAAACCTTATCGCTATTTTCTCGGAAACGTTTGCTTCACATCATAGAGGTATGAAGGTGTATCGATTATTTTTTGTTTCCATGTTTTTTTTTTACCATGGGATCAAATCCATAGGTTTATCAACTTGTTCGAGTAACAATTTGTAACCTAAAATATTCATTTTCTTAAATGATATATACAATTTAGCAAAAATATAAGCGAATAAACAATTATATGATAAATGAAGAATTTAGTCATGGTATAATGCTAATTATTATATGTTGACCAAAGCAAAAAATAATTTGGTTACCATATAGCTAAAATTCATAATAGAAAAATACGGTGAAATAAAAACAAAATACTTATCGTAGAAGAATACGCATAAAGCAGATGAAATGTGTTTCTCTATATATTCGGACTATACAGCTTCCAAGTAACGCCGAAGAAAAAGCAGAAGAAGGAAGAGTCATATTCGAAGAAATAGATCTTCTTCTCTGCGTCTCCTTTTTCTCCTGGAATTTTCTCTGACCAGCGTTTTAATTCAGCAATGGTGAAACTCTTCTTATTTTTTTGCTCTATTGTTTGTTTCCAGTTCTTCGATTTTGAGCTCGCTTCTCGATTTTGATTTTTTTATTGTATTTGTCTCGGATTTGATAAGCTCACTAGATCTGGAGATGGATTTGTTTCTCATATTAGATCTCTGAGATTTTGTGTTTATGTGATCTCTGAAATTTTGTCTTGTGCTTCGCTAAGTTTAGAATCGAAAATCATGAAGAATCTGGTTACTATTGCGTGTTTTTCCCCTTGAAGTTTCAGTTGAGTCCATGGTCATTTCTATAGTAATATTCGTTTGTTTGATCCATCGGGCTTCTTGTGTGTTGAAATCGATTTCTTCTCATTTCTCATGATGGCTCTAGTTGCAATTGAAGTCTAGATCGTTACCAGAGAGTAAATACCCAGTTTATGCGTTTAGCTATTCTAATTTTAGAGATTTCAGGAAATTGCTTAGACTCATAAACCACAGATCCTTGTTTGTAGCATTGTTTGGTTACAATTTCAAGCCTAGCTTTGCAGGATCTGGAAATGTTTTTGTTGTTGTTTTGTGTGTGTGTGGAAGATATGTGAATTTAAATGTTTTTGGTTTTTGTATTGATATTCAGGCGAATGCGGCGTCGGGAATGGCAGTCCATGATGACTGTAAGCTAAGGTTTTTGGAATTGAAGGCGAAAAGGACACACCGTTTCATAGTTTACAAGATTGAGGGGAAGCAAGTGATTGTTGAGAAAGTTGGTGAACCTATCCTAACTTATGACGACTTTGCAGCAAGTCTTCCAGCTGAAGAATGCCGATACGCTATTTATGATTTTGACTTTGTCACTGCAGAGAATTGCCAGAAGAGCAAGATTTTCTTCATTGCATGGTTCAAATAATCTCTCATTACTCCATTCTTAGTTTCTTTCTAAAACCGTTGTTACCTCATTATCCATTCTAATTACCTTGTGATGATCAATGGTGGTCTGTTTTTTTTTGTTTGCCAAAGGTGTCCGGACGTAGCGAAGGTGAGAAGCAAGATGATCTATGCGAGCTCTAAGGACAGGTTCAAGCGTGAACTCGATGGAATTCAAGTAGAGCTTCAGGCAACCGATCCAACTGAGATGGATCTTGATGTTTTGAAAAGCCGCGTCAACTAAAACAAACTCTCTTTTGAATAAGCTGCTTTATCTCATATTCAACTATTCTGAAATGGTGTTTTCTTCTCTTACAGTTTCTTTTGACTGTTTTAAAAACCTAACACCGCTCATTCTATATGTCTGGTCTGTATTTGTTACCTCAGCAGTGTTTCTTTAAAATGATCTTTTGTGTTGTGTTTGCATCCTCTGTTTCAACCTTACCAAGAACTGTGTAAGATGATTTCTTTAAGCTTCCTTTGTTACAACATACAAGGTCGATTAAAAATGAAAGGTCCTAGAATGACAATTTTAACTCTAGGTTCTAGAATTTCATTGATTTAACACTGTGTGAAAATGTGACATTATGTTATACATTTTACATTGAACGAGTGAGGCAAGGAAAACATTACATTACATGAACCGTACCTTATATATAAGTGTCTATTGGAAATCTAGTGAGAGCAAGAAGTCAAAATCGTGTGAGAGAATGATATCTTATGGAGATTGTTTAAGGCTCAAATTAGTAAAACTATGATTCATAACCATACAATCACTTAGCTTCCATGTCAAAATGATAAGAAAAATATTGCTAAGAAACGAAATCATAGTTGTTAGATGCACCTTATTATTATTATTGAGTTGGTTTACACATGCATACATTACTATGATTGGTCGAAACAAACCCAAAACCAATAAAATTGATGCATATCTTTAGATTGAAAAATATTCCTTTATACTGACAAATCATCAACGAATCTCTGAATTCAACGATTGCTTCAAATTTCAAAAACCTAAAAGAACAAAGGATTTTCTTCTCCGCAAAGTAATACCCAAACTGTTTGAGAGTTAACTGAAAAAGAGAGAACATAATGATATTATAGAAAGCATTTGTTTTATTGTTGTTTAAAGAAAGCATTTTCTGTTGTGTTTTCTTTTATGATGAAAGAAAGCATTTTATGTCGTGTTATGATGAAAGAAGTATTTGA